CTCAAAAACTTAAAAATTTAAATAAACAGTTTCACAAAACTGCAAATATAACTGAAGTTTTATATTATAAAACCCTCCTTCTGAAAAGGAGTAACTGGCTAATTTATTTCAAAAGTAAATTAGAAAATTATATAAAATAGAAAACAGAAAATAAGAGTGAGAACATAAAAACATTAAATTACAAGAAAATTCTCTGGAAAAAAATTATATTAGAGGCATTCAATAAATGGAACTAAAGCCCATCAGTGGACTTTAGAATAACTCAGACAAGAGAAAATGCAAAAAAAAAAAGGATGGTTTTAAAGATCTGAATAAATATTCCAGAGTGTAGAATGGAAAGAACTGAGAAGTAGAAATGTAATGTAAAAATTGAACTACACAGATAACAGTGTGTCAATGCCATCATGAATGTAACACCTGACTATAATTCCATTTCAGTGGTAGCAGATACCATCGATTTTGTGTACATAAGTAGTATTAATCCATAGACTCTAGCCAGCCAAACAAGCCCTAGTAGTGAGGAATTTCCGCACTGGATATATTATGACTATCTGGAGCAAGACTTCCAGAACTGAATCCCATTTGCAATATTTTCTAATGAGTTTCTGACCTAACAGTGGTTATACCATACCATAGTATGTATTTCCTTAACTGTTACAAAGATTAGATGAGATGGTATCTGGATGTTCTTTAGTGCTATTGGGTTTCTAATATGTATTTTTATCTTGAGTATTCACCAAGGTGTTATTAACTAGAGACTGGTTTCTTATTGTCTTGTGAAAAAAAAATAGTAATTCAATCTGCCTGACTTGCCTAAATTTCATCAAGCCAAATGTCTACGTACGAAGAGGGGACACCAAGTAGGAGAGTTACAGAAAGAATAGGATGCTCTATATACAAGAAAGAAATGGCTATTCTGCTCCCCAAAGTGAAAATCTTGTTTTGTTTCAACTGAGCCAAGATTGGAAATGACCCTAGGTTCTTATCATATCATCTAGAATGCAAATGCCATCATTCCAGGGCCATATATACACCAAATATCTCCATGGTCTTAGCTTTATATAGGAAACAGCCTCCAGGAAGTCCTGGTTTAACAGAGGAAAGTAATGCAAGTATTAGCCTTACCGATTAGTTATGCAAATGGAAGATCTACTCCAGTGACAGGTGAAGCCTTCAACGGGGTAGCCTGGGAATTTTACAAAAGCACTGAAACCTCAGGAAAGGTCTAAGGCCAACACAGATGACTGTCACTGAAAAGGTGCAACGGAAATATCTGCCACATAAATAAAAGTTCATTTAAAGTACCAAAATACTAAAAAATAAATAAAGGCAGGAAAAAAATAGCAAAGACAAAATTGACCCTTTGAAAACTAGCAAATCGACTAACCTCTAGAAAAAAAAAATAAGTGAGAAATATGCAAGATTAAAGAAGAAACAAATAGCAGGGAACCAGAAGATGAAGAGAAAATACTCAGAGCAAGTTTATCAGCGCAGTTAGATTGGGAAACCATTCAGCCTTGTGTGACCAAATTGAGCCCAGGCATATTCTATGAACCAGCATTTTGCTCCTAGGAATGTTTCCTCCAGAAAACCTTGCACATGTGCTCTGAAAAAAAAAAAAAAGGACAATAATGCTCCTAGAACCGCTGTTGTTCAGAACAGGAAGAAAATAGGATATGTCAAATGTCCATGTACAGAAGAATGAGTATGTAGTGACTTCACGCAATGTGGGTCAACTGGGGAACTGATTTCCCCGGTGTTTTACACCTTAAAACATACCTTCCAAGTACTGTTGGGAAAAAAAACAGCAAAATCACAATTAAATACTTCCTGTATAATGCTGTCTACACAAATTCAAGAAATAACCAAGCTAAGGAAAATGCCTTTAGAAATGTTCATTCATGCTTACGTGAAGAGGTTATGGCTAACTATAAAGCAATTCCATAAATGTCCATAATGGAACATTTAGGACAATGATCATGCTAGTACACCAATGAAGACAGGAATGGGATGAAGTCAGTATGCAGACACACAGTTCAAGAGCATTCAAGAGAGAATACTCCCCAGCATGCTATTGAGCACATGAATTTATGCCATATGACTGATATTTATATTGCCCTTATAGTTTCATATGTGAAATAATTCAAGAGAAAAAGAATAAGTGGGGAAAAGAAGAAAACAAGGAAGAAGGAAAGGGAGACATGGGGAGAGAAATCACTCATAAAATATTTATGCAAGCGACATAAAGTTCCAGGGCAGGTTGGTGTCCATGGGGAATCTCCCCTTTCTTTGAGGAAAAGGAGAGAGGAGAACGAGGAAGAGAGCTGGAGGTGTGCACTGGGAGGAGAGAGGGGCTGTGATTAGAATGTAAAGTAAATAAACACATTGATTAATGGAGAAAAAAAGGTCTTTATGCAAATTAGAAGAAACGGAACCAAAACCAAGCTAGGCTCTCCTCCGAACAGCGAATTGCATTTGGCAGTTTTCTTACACATACAGCCGGGTTTTTGTTCCTGCCGTTCTTTGCTGGTTTCTCTTATACAATGAAGTGTTTTATACTACGAGGCTGGAAAACATGGCTCAGCAGTTGAAAGTGCTCGCTGTTCTTCCAGGGAACATAACTTCCGTTCCCAGAATCCACGTTAGGCAGCTCACAGCCACCTGTAACTCTAGTTCCAGGGTTTCAGAGGCTCTCTTCTGGGCCACATAGCCACCGCACTCACAGATATGGACATGTACACATATTTTAAGCAAATAAAAACATGTAAATATTTTTTAAATTTATAAATAAACAAAAATGTAAATATAGTATTAGCAAGTAGTAAGAAAAGATAGTTTTGTAGTTAACAGAGTACATGTCATGACTTAAGGATTCTATCGTTTGTTTGTTTGTTTGCTAGACAGTACATGGGGCAAAATTTAGGACTGGCTTCTTAAAGAAGTCCATGATATGTTCATATTTGCTTACTTAGTTATGTATTATTTATTTATTTAAGGCTCAAGCACTCGTGTAGTCAGGCATTTTGGTTACTTTTATTTGGGTCCCATATCTGCCACCCCTATCTCTTCCAACCCCCTAATACTAGGTAGGCAAGAATAAAGGTTACAGGAGAAAGAGGTCATAGACCTCTTTAAATCACTTCCTGCTGGGGAGGGGCATTGGGTTCTTAGGGCCAGCAGCACAGGCCCTCCTGGGGATCTCCTATTCACTCCTTCTCAAAACTCCCAAAACTCCAAACATAAACCATCAGCAGACTGAAGAGTTCTTAAATTTATACTGTGGAAATTCTTCATGAATGAATCTCTTCTAGACACTCTCCCCTGGCTTTGGCAACAAAAACATATCTCTCAGGAACACTGCCCCGGCTGTACTGAAACCCTCCATTCCTGCTTCTCTCAGCTCTTCTACCAGGGCCCTGGGATCACTGAGAGAAAGTATAGATGGAGTATAATTTGGTTAGCTCCAGAAACGGCCTTTCTCATACAGTTTACAGCTCTTGGAAATGAGCACTTAACACTCTTTTGATGTCAGGCACCAAGTTCACTGCTGCCTTGGAGCGTAGGAGATACATTGCCCCCAAACCTTTTTAAATTTGTGCAGACAGGTTTGTGGTGGTTAGGGTCAACTGTGAACTTAACAAACTAATCACCTGGGACACGGGCCTCTAGGCATGGCCATGAGGGATTGTGTTCTCTTATTTGAGTTGGGAAGATCCGTCATAACTGTCCGCTGCAGGAACAGGAGACCCGAGAGACCGTATGACCACTGAGAAGAAGCGGCATGCAGGCCTCAGGGCTCTCTGTTTCAGATTGCAGAGGAAGTGTGACCGGCTCCTTCCTGCAACCGACTTCCCTGCGACAATCAGCCTTAACCTGGAACAGTGATTGATCTGCTCTTCTCAGGGCATTTGATCACAGTGACAGGGAAAGAAACTAACATAACAATTATTAAAGAGGATTACAAGTTTAATTGGCAGATCCATGGGCCACATTAAAGACAAAAAGAAATTTGTGCATTCACAAGCACACGTGCCTTTGCAGGTCAAAAACAGAATTGCAAAATAGGAACACACTCTCCACAAAACTTTTTCTTCTAAATTATAATTTATTGGTTTTAAATGCATGGGGGTAATATCAAATCTTATCTCTGTGTGAGTGGTCCATGAGATGCTAATGCATGTGTCTAAATAAGTTAATTAGTAGAGAATTCAAAACACTCTTACTTCCTCCTTCACCCCCAAAAAAGAATAAGAAATAAAATTGCTAGCATTTATGGTGGAAAGAGTATTGAATTGAATAGCAAAACCATATTTCACAGAAAAATCTAAATTGACTTCTCAGGTTATGAATACTTGATTATGGTAGATATAATACAGAAATAGCCCCATTTTAACTCATTTGGAAAAGGCAGCCATTACTTATGTGGAGCCTAATGGCTGGAAGGGAGAAAGGGGAATAATTTTGAGCTGACAGGACATACATATAGACAAATATTCTTATTCTTTTCTGTGGTAGATCAGAACCCATTGAGGATCATGGTAGAAATGGTTTCCCAATGAAGGGCAGAGAGTGAGTCATGGTGCCAAGAAAAGATACAGTCTACAAAAAAATCTAAATGAAAACTCTACATATACTGTGTACATATGATTAAGATTTGTACATGAGAATATTTTGTTTATAAAGATAAGGTCAGTCTAAAATTCATCTTTTTTACACCCCAGAGCAACATTTTAACATTGCTGTCTTTAAAAATGGAGGGAAGACAGCGTTAGAATTTTATGTTCGTTGGATAATATTTTCAGAATTGGCAGTAATCCTGGAAACACCATGTTTCTCCTCTCAGTGTCATCTTGAAGACAGCTCTCTGCATTTTTACCTAAAGAAAATCGCTAAGGGAAACCCACACCTAATATAATTGAACAGACCAATGAAGACAGAATGTGACAGTCTGTTTAAAGGAGCCTTCTCACACAGAAAGTGTGGAAAGCAGGTGAACTTACCTTTGTGATGGTTGGCGCTGGAAACAGCTTTCCCCCACAAGGTCACTATAAAAATTATTATCAACAGCTTTCCTTTCGTTGCTTTCTGTAAGTATCTCTTACTCATCCTGTAATACAAAAACAATACAATTCCTAAGAACATAGAGTAGAGTCATTATGTTTCTATAATTGGGCAATATTTAAGTCTTTCATGATACCTTGATATGCTTATCCCCCAGAAAATTGAATTTCTCACACTGAAGGCTCTGTTTTTACAAACTATGTTACTGTGTTTACTGCCATTGTTGTTGCTGCTGTTTGTGGCTGTTGTGTTTAAAATAAGGTCTTACTATGTAGTCTTACTATTTTTGAACTCATAAACTTCCTATCTCAGGTTCCCAAATACGAATGAAGAGTGCAGGTAAATGAGGTACCATGTCCAACTGTATGTACTGTATATAGAAAATAGAACATTTCAAACAAAGCATTTTGATATGACTCAGAATCAAGCAACATCTTGCTTTTGTCATTTTTATCAACTTAAAACAGCTTAGGAAATATTGTCATATTATTTTTTCATAAAATTTATTAAGAAAAAAGTAATTTATTAAGAAAATTTAAGGCACAGCCATGACATTGTTTATTCCCCCCCCCTCAAGATTCTTTCTTCCATGCCAAGATTTCAACACATGCTCTGTGACATGGGCATGCCCATACACATACACACAAAAATAAATAAATAAATAAATAAATAAATAAATAAATAAATAAATAAATA